ATTTGGGAAATTTACATAAACACTCTGAACCTTAGTTCCCTCATATGTAAAATAAGATTGGATTAAATTTCCCTTTGAGTTCCCTAATCTATGATCCCCAAACCCATTGTGGCCCCAGCAGTAACCTTGACCTTTAAGGTCTTCAGCCTCCTAAGTGCCTTTATTTATTTATTTATTCATTTTTTTCAAAGTGCCTTTTTTTTAAACTGAATGAACAAAACCTCTCTTTTGGCTGACTCCATAGCAAAAGGGAGATGGGTCTATGGGAGTCTCAAAGTATTAGGAAAGGACTGTGATATCTGCAGCGGCAGTGAGGAGAGGAAGGGGATCTCAGGCACTCTGGAGTGGAAGAGAGGTCTGGAGAATTGAGTCCCAGGCCAGGGCAGCTATTTGTATATAAGGGAGGTTTGTAACTTGGATGTTTGTGAATTGGAAAGGACCAATACATTGAGACCTTTAACACAATGGATAATAACATTTAAACTGATTCTTGAAACAAGTGCAGTCAATGGACAATTCTATGTTCCTCTCAAATTATATTTTCTTACTTTCGTTATGGAAATAAAGGATTAATTTCATGATGCCAAAATCTGTCTGACTTGGGGAAGAGAAGTTAACGAAAAAGCAGTTTAAGATGTCATATGGACTTTGATTTCCTGAAGAAGGAATGGGAACAAGGAATTCCAATAACTGTAAAAACAAAACAAACACATTTATAGATAAATAGTATCATTCTAATTCATGAGAGTTTGTTTTTGCTTGGAGGAGTACGAGAAAATTCAGTCTATTGTATTTCCTGACAAAGTGTGGCAAGCTAGCAATATAGGTTAAAGCACATCATGCTTAGTTATGTAATGCACTGCCTTTTCATAGCAATGCAGCATTTCTCCAGATATTTTTGCTGGTTCCACATCAGATCACATTACATTGCTATCTCCGTTGTGAGTACTTGGAATATTGGCATCCTTGTTAAGATTAAAAAATAAATCCAATAACTCTTAAAATTGTGTTAATATTGGCTATGTTCTCAGAAAGAAATTAGCATCAATTTTACTTGAGATTGAAAAGTATTTTCAAAGGATAGCTTTGCGCAAATGGCGGTAAATGGCGCTTGAAGTAATTAGGGTGTTTAAACAACCAGGCAGAAAAAAAGCCACTAATTACTCCCAGCTTCATTTTCTCCCCTGCAAGGAGAGGAAAACCTGGGAAGGATTTGAATTTTGTAAAGACTGTGAAATTTTTGTTTTATTATTATTATTATTTATTGTGCATGATCAGGGGAGCAGAGGGGGAGGGAACAGTTTTCAAAAGTACTTTGTGATCTATCATTCAACATTTTAAAGTACCTACTGTATACTGAGCACTTGGCTAGATCCTGGGGGAGATATGAAATTGGCGTTCCTGAGTTACATACCATCTCATGTATGATTATGAGAGTGTATGATTTTTGGACTTTAGAAGCCATAGGATTACTGCTCTGCTACTAACATTCTTTGCCATGTTAGCCAAATCATTTCCCCACCCTGGGTTTCAGTTTTGACATGTGTGAAATGAAGGGGTTGAACTGGATGGTGCTCAGAGTTCCTCCCAACTCTAAGATTCTATGACATCTATGACATTTGAACTCCATCAAAGAAGACAAGTGATTTTTGTTGTTTATGGAGAAGGACTAGAAGGGAAACTTCTGCTGGGTAAGGACTCTTGATTTTTTCCTTTGTCTTGCACATAGTATGTGCTTAATAAATGCTTGTTGAATTGAGCATCCCCACAGATTTTGAATCCTTTCTCATAATAGTAGCATCCTGCTACTGGCACTAAGGATGACTTCTGCTAGGCCACCACACAATGTGGCTCTGTTAAGAACAAATGCTAATTTGGTTTCAAATTTCCCCAGGGTTTGTACTGACCTTCCCCCCACCCCCCTGCACTGGTCTTTCTTTTATTTCCCAGAAAAACAATGATACCTATGTTCAGGTCCCTTTCAGCTCTAGATTTAGTGATCCTGCAAGGCTGTGTAATAGAGTAATACAGTATTAGGTTTTTATCAACTCCATTTTTGTTCCTTGAGGAACATAATTTTCTCAATCTGTGGTTCTTTGTGTACCAACTGCTCCCGCTCTGCCCTGTGCCCTATTTTAAAATGTAACATAGAGACGTTAAAAAAAAAAGCCACGTTTTTGGCACCTGGCTGTCTAAATGCAGGTACACAGTATTTGGGTATAGGTTTTTGGTTACCAAAAGTCCCTGCCTCTGTATCTTATATTGCAGGTGAGGGGTTGAGGTGTGAAACAAAAAGCTTGATTGGGGTTGTTTTGTTCTGGGAAAATGACCTTATGTCAGGGCAATGTATTGGAGAATAAGCAGGATGTAGGAACAAGGGAGACCGCTTCGAGTCTTGGCTCCAACACTGTGGAACTCAAGGCTGTATTGCTTTATAAGATGGGTCTAAGGCTTATAGAGCTAGAATTGGAAGGGCCCGCTGAAGCACCTAGGAAACTTCTGTCTGCCATGAGAGTCAGCACTAAAGGATAATAGATAGCACTCACAGATTTGCCAAGTGCTTTACGTGTTATTTCATTTAATTCTTATTCCAGTTCTGTGAGGTAGGTGTTACTATTATTCCCAGCTAAGGAAACTGAAGCTCAGAGTGGTGAAATACCTATATCACTGTCACATAGCCAGGAAGTGTCTTGAGGTAACATTCAAACTCAGATTTTCCTGACTCCAAGTCTAGTACTCTATCCACCAGGCAACACTACCTCCTAGAAATGTGACCTCTTTTGGTGTTCTTTTTCTAGTAAATCCAAGGCAATCAGGTCCTTTTCCATTTATAAAATATTTATCATTTGCCAGGACCATGGAGAGTGTTACTACCCAAATGCTTCTCTTTTTGCTGAAAGGGAGCTTGAATAGGCCACACTACACCAATTATTTAACCAATTCCAAAGTGGCTGTATTAGCAATGGGGAAGAAACATAGAAAACCTGGCAGTAAGCATTCCCATATGAGACATTTTCCCCAAGCTCATAACAGTATTAATAATGATAATAACACAACAAATCAATTAAGTATTAAGTGCCCACTGTATGGTCAACACCATCTTGGGTACTGTAGGGATTACTTTAAAGCACCCCAGAGAGGCATATATTTGTATCAGCTTAATATTGCTGGATAAATCAATACAGCTTTCAAATACAATACAATTCAAATGCTTTATTTCATACTTTGCCCATTTCATGACTCTTTCATATATCCTTTAAAAATACATAGCTAAGCTGATGAGAAAACTTAAGAGGATTCTCTCTGTTTTTAGAGGCTGCATTGTTTCTAATGGAGAAACATATTAGAGGAATCATAGTATAGTGAAAAGAGCACTGGATTTGCATCAGGAAGTCATGGGTTCAAATCCCTACTCTGCTGTGTGATCTTTGTGACCTTGTTAATGTGCCTTTTTCTCTTTAAAATGAGGTTGTTGGACCAGGTGATTTTGAGTGTTTCTTTCAAATGAAAAAGCCTCTCTGTGATCTTGGTCATACATTTGGTTGGTAAAACATCCTCAGATCAGTCCATGTATGCCCACTATTTATTTTTCCATGAGTGTATTTATCCTTTTTAAATTATATTTTTACTATGAACTTAATTGTTAATTAGTATAAACATTTCCACATACAGAGAACAACAGCCACAAGTATTGTATGTGAAACCATGAATGTCTGTTACAGAGTTTATTTTTAAAAATGTGTATTAAATTTAACAAGATAAGAGTTTGCCTCAGACCCAGTAAATTAGCAGAGTATAGGAACAGATAGAGAATAGATTGAGGAAAGATAGGAATAATCAGTTTTAGAGCTGATGTTGTGGCAAGGTGGGTACACTAATGTATGATTGATGGGGATGTGAATTGGTGCAACCATTCTAGGAAGCGATTTGAAATTATGTAAAGAAAGTGACTAAAATGTCTATATTCTTTGACTCAGAAATTCCACTGCAAGCTATGTACCCAAAGGAGAGCAATGTAAAAAGGAAGGTTCCATGTACATTGAAATATTTATAACAACACTTTTTTTTGGTAGTAACAAAGGAATGAAGGGGCGGGGGGGGGGGAGTAGATATCCATTAGCTGAGGAATGGTTGGATAAATTATAAAACCTGAATGCAATGGAATATCTGTGTTGTTTAAAAACAAAATAATGGGTATGATGAATATATGACACATGGGAAGATATGTGAACTGATGCCAAAAAGTAAAGTAAGAACAACTGGGGAAACAACATACATAAAGACCCTAACAATGCAATGGAAAAGCAATAACAAAACAATTGAAATGGAGTGCTGCAGACTTATAATGATCAAGCTTGCTTCTCCCCAAAAGCTGTAAGACAGCACCTACCCTCCACCACTTTTTTTGCAAAGAACAGGGGCTATGGGTATGGAACACTGCACAGTAATATCAAACTTTTTTTGATGTGTTGGTTAGGATGAACTAATTCCCCCCACCCCCACTCCAACACCACCCCTACTTTGTTATAAGGGATAGCCTGGAGTGGAGGTAATGGTAGAGTGACATATTGGAAGAAACAAAAGATGTCAATAAATTTTAATTAAAAAAAAAGAAAATTAAAAATTGTTTTTACATGTATTTTGAAGAAAAATTTTAAAAAAGAGAACATTGAAAAAAAATGAGATCCTGTTTATATCCCCTTCTGATCTTCTTTTTGTTGTCTTTGGTGTATTTTTCTTTTTAGAAAAATATTTTCAGCTCCAAATTCTCTTCTCTGCCCCTTCTGTCACCTAGTGAAAAGGCAAGAAACTCGATATTTGGTGTATATTTTGATGCAGTATTGATGCTTTTTTCTTTTTCTACATCTTCATCACTAACCACTAATTTATCTCCCCCCTCCCTAAATTCAGCGCCCTTCATTGTAACAAAAAAGCACAGTCAAGCAAAGTACAGCAACACATTGACCGTGTCTGAAAAAGTGTCTGATTCTGATCTGTAGACCATTGCTGCTCCAAGAGGTGAGAGACATGGCCACCTTAGAAAGCAGAGTTCTTTGCCCACGCCAGCTCCCTTTGGTACCTGAATGTTGTTGCACAGATGGCTGCAGGTTCCCTTTGTAGTGGTGCAACCTCGACATGAAAGGCAGAGAAACTTTTGACAGCCATCCCTCTCGACCCCACAAGAACAGCTTCCCGGAGATAAAAGCTCCAGATAGTGGGGGCATTCCCACCACCGAACGCTCTCTTGTGGGTGAGTGACGGTTGACACAGGTGGGCGTCAGGGGCTGCCTTTCTTTTGAAGTCTGTCTGTTGAAAGATGGTGCCACCTGTTGGTGATTTGGAGGTTTTTCTGGTCAGCTCAGGTGGCCATTACCTGTCCATCCATGCTGAGAGCCATAAGTGGTTGTCAAGAGGTCCAACAAGGTTGCAAAGTTGGGGTGAGGGGCAAGGTGGCAAGTCTGGTAAACCTTGGTGCAATGTGGCCGTTGAAGGTGATACCTTGTCATTTTTTTTCCAGGAACTGAAACAGGTGTCTCATCTGTCTCTCACTTTGAGCTGGTTCAGAGAAAGCCAGCATTGGCTACACTTGGAGAACATGTTATTGTTGTTTGGATGAAAAAAAAAACCACATGTTAAGTGATACTGCCATTTCTCTAAGCAAATAGAATCTGTTGGAAATTGCATGGCCTTATTTTGTTTTGATTCACATTGTAATATAATAAGGCACACAAGATCTTTGGTTCATTAATAAAATGCTTGGAAGGGGAATGAAACTCTTAGACACTTACATTATGTTGTACTGAAATCTTGTGCCACCCCTACCCCACTTGGTGTCAATATTCTCTCTGTAATTATGTCCTAAATAAACCAGCCCACAAATCCTCAGGTTCCTGCCTTAGCAAGAAGAGCTTTAGGGTTGTGGTTTTTAAAGTAAATTAAAAACAAACAAACAAACAAACAAACCTCTAGATTAGCAGCTAGACAAATGTCCCTGGAAGAAGTATCATTTGCCAGGTAATTTAAGCTTTTCAAAAAACCTCAGAGGGCAAAAGCCTGGCTGAAGGAAATGTATTCAGAGGTGTTGACCGATATGATCTTCTGTCTTTTTTTTCCACCTTTCTGCAAAGGCACAATTAATATTTCATGCTAGCAAGGCATAATAGTGTAGTGGAAAGAAGGCTGAACTAGAATTATAGATAATAAATTGTTTGAGAGCTTGAAGGGACTTCAGAAGCCATGTAGGGCAACCTCCTCATTTTTAGAGATGAGGAAACTGAGACTTAGGAAATGTAGGTGACTTGCCTAAGGTCTCACACAAAGTAAATGTGGGAGGTGGGATTTGAACCCAAGAAAGGTCCATGCTATTTACTGTACTAAACTAGCTTCCCAAATCAATTAATCAACAAGCATTTATTAGGAGTTTACTATGTGCCAAGCAATGAATTAAAAAAAAAAACACAAATGAAACAGTCCCCTCTCTCCATACTACACTCAGAATACCTGGGTTCAAGCCTTGGCTCTACCAACTTTGACAAGTCAGATAATTTCTCTGAGCCTCATTTTCCTCATTTGTAAAATGTGAGTAATAATGTTGAATGACATACTTCATAGGGTCATTGTGAAGATCAAATACAATACGTATTAGTGTGAATAATCATTCCCATGAAGTAGACACATATATTTAAATGTGTCTGAGTTATAATCATGTAAAATGTGGTGATTGGTCCCAGTCCAATAGAAATATATAGGAGAAATTCAAATAATGTTGCCGTTTCATGGGATTCATTATTAGCACTAATCAGGACCTAGCAGCATGACGTCCTCTGAAACTAGTAAGTGCCATTTTGACAAATGTCAAGGGTCTGTTATTTCATCAGTGTGGCAATTTCACCAACAAAATTGGCAAACTCGACCATAGTTTATAGTTTCAAAGAGCTGCCTTCGGTCCATGGTGTGAAGTGACTTGCCCATGGTTATACAACAATGTGTTGGAGGTAGGATTTGAACCCAGGGCTTCCTAACTGCACGTATAGCATTATATCCATGCTATCCCTCTCTAGTGCCATACAAAGAAAATTTATTTATCCATTAGTTAATTAATCTATTTATTACTGCTGTTATTTGTTAAGTGAGCCAATGTGCCCAATCCAACTTTTCCTTATAAAACCTGAATTATCCCATGACACTGTCATTTTGTGGTCACCTAGTCAATAACATGCTTTTATTCAATTCACCTCAGCTATAATTGGGAAGCAGCAAATAGGAGGTAGTTGATAGAATACTAGACCCCGGGGTCAGGAAGACTTGAATTCAAATCCTGCCTCAGACAGCTACTATGTGACCTGAGGCAAGTCATAACCTCTGCCTCAGTTTTCTCATCAATAAAATGGGGATAATAATAGCACTTATGTCCTATGGTTATTGTAAGGATAAAATGAGATAATATTCATAAAGGTACTTCACAAACTCTGACGTGCTATGTAAATCCTAGCTAAGTGTGTCGAGAAGGGTTTTTACTTTATTATTATTATTATAATTGTTATTACCAACTGAGAAATAGACATGTTGGAGTCACATGATTTGTCAGAGGTCATTGGATGCATTGGGAGTGGAATATAATGGGGACCAGTTAGGGCCAAAGCTACCGTTTGATCACTGAGTATGTCTAGAGCCTTCCATGGAGTGCTTCCATAACTGATGAGATAGGGGGAAAATGAATTATTTAAGGAGTTTTTAGAAAAGATTTTTTTAGGAAAGAGTTTATTGACTGAAAAAAGAACTAAAGAAAAGATGAAAAGAGGCAGCAAATTTCACAGAATACTGGTGCATAACTTATCTTTATAGTATCCATGTGATTATTCAACCAAAATATAAGCGCATTTATCCATACAGTTACTTAGTATTAAAGAATCATTTGCAGCATACTGCCTATTTCAAAGTTCATCTTGTGGAATAGAAAGTCCTGATGAAAAATGGGCGTGAGCCATCTCACAGGCTTCATTGAAGCTCGAGAAACTAGGCTTTCTTCTGTCTCTATATTTTCTCCTTGCTGATCCCACTACTTTATGCAAGTGTGCCTTGCAAAGAACAAACACTTAATAAATGTTTGTTAAATTGAATTGTATTAAATCGGCCCTCATGCACTCTCATAGCTACAGTCATCACCTCTATCCATGCAGATGGCTTCTGGAGCTCCAGTTTTATAATTTTTAACTATCTACTTGATAATTCCTCTTGGATCTCTACCCCAGCAAGTTAAATTCAAAATTGATATAGAAAATTTCTCACATCATCCCTTCAACCTCCCCCTTACCCTAACTTCCCTCTTTTTATGAAGTATATCACCCTCCCCCATCATACAAACTGAAGTCATCTCTGATTTCTGTCTCTTTTACTCCATATATCCAGCCATTTGACAAGTCCTTTTTTTTTTTAAATTTCCATATTAGTCATATTGGGAAGAAGAAACAGACCAAAAAAACCCATTAAAAAAGGAAAAAATAATATGCTTCGATCTGCATTCAGAATCCATAAATTCTTTCTTTGGAGGTGGATAGCATTTTTCATCATGAGTCCTTTAAAACTGTCTTAGATCATCGTATTGCTTAGAATAGCTGTCATTCACAGGTGATCATCATACACTATTGCTGTTACTGTGTACAATGTTCTCCTGGTTCTGCAGACTTCACTTTGTCTCAGTTCAAGTAAGTCTTTACAGATTTTTCTGAAATCATCCTGTTCATCATTTGTTGTAGCACTGTAGTATTCTATTATAATCATATATCACAACTTGTTCGGCCATTCTTCAATTGATGGGCTTCCTTCAATTTCCAATTCTTTACCACCACAAAAAGAGTTGCTATAAATATTTTTGTACAAATAGGTCCTTCTCCCTTTTAAAAAAAATCACATTGGGATATAGACCTATTAGTGGTATTGCTGGATCAAAGGGTATGCACAGTTTTATAGCCCTTTGAGCATAGTTCCAAATTGTTCTCCAAAATGGCTGGATCAGATCACAACTCCACCAATAGTTGCATTAGTGTTCCAATTTTCCCACATCTCCTCCAACATTTATCATTTCCTTTTCTGTCATATTAGCTAATCTGATAGGGGTGAAGTGGTACCTCAGAGTTGTTTTAATTTGCATTTCTCTAATTACTAATGATTTAGAGCATTTTTATATGACTATAGATAGTTTTGATTTCTTCATCTGAAAATTACCTGTTCATATCCTTTGACTCAGGTTATGGTTTGTCCTTCATTCTTGAAGAGGACCATGACATAAGGAAGATGATGACATGATTTGCAATTGAATTGGATTTGAGTGAGGGAGGGTTGTACAAAGTCACCAGCCTCATTTTCTCCTCCAGAGTCATCTGGGTCCAGAGATCAGACATAGATCGGGATGACTAGACATGGCCCAGGATGCAGTGGCAGATCTTGACCTTTTTAAGCCAAGGTCTTTCTGAGTTCTCATTTTGAGTGAGGCAATGCCCATTCAGTGAATAGGCCCTTTTAAGAAGTTAGTCAAGGGATGGCCCTTTCATCCCTCCCCCCAAAAAAAATCAAACTGGGAGGGGAAGACCTTTAGGGTTGCTGACCAAAAAGAGAAACAGCTACTATTTACATTTACTCTGAACTAGGATGGCCCCCAAAAGTAACCCTTAAGTGGTGCTTGGGCAGGGATCTATTGCTGTCCAATCCATGAGAGCCAGAGTGAATTGGGTTTAAGGCTTGGTCTTTAAGAAAAAAATCTAGCCAGTAAACCCCAATTCTATTGTATCACTCTCATTTCTTTTCCCAATTTTTCTTATACATCTCTTATTTGACTTTTAAAATCCTTTTTGAGCTCTTCCATGAGTTCTTTTAGGGATATTTTTCTTTGAAGCTTTGCATGTAGGCGTTTTAACTCTTATGGTTTTAAACATTGCAACATTTCTAATACCTTGGTCCCTGTGTCCACTCCCACTGTGCTTATATGTTCTCACCTAGGATAAGTCATTCTCTCTTCAGTCTATTTCCTTTTTAATCCATAGGATACTTCCATTTTGTTGATCAAGTAATCTTTCTGGTGCATGGCTGTAGTCATGTCACTCCTCAACTCAAAAGCCTCCAATGACTCCTTTCTGTCTATTGAATAAAGTCAAAATTATTATCCCTGACATTCAAATCCCATGGCAATCTGACTACAATGAATCTGTATAAACTCAGAATTAAAGGTCATCTAGTATAGTCCTTTCATTTTACAGATGAGTACTTGCAGACCTAGAGGTTAAGTGACTTGCCCAGGACATACAAGAAGTATGAGTAGTGGAGTTATGATTTGAACCAAGGTTATTTGATTTCCAAACCATTGTTATTTTGTTACACCATTAGAACCACTGAGAGATAGCATGGTGTAGTGGACACAGGCTTGACTCAAAGGCAAGGTGACTTAGGTCTTGCCTCTGATGCAAACTGACTGTGTGACCATGGAAAAGTCACTTGGTACCCAACATAGTATTCTAAGACTGTAAGCTCCAGGGAAGGTACTGACCTGCATGGGAAGAAGGAATTTTCCTCACCTCAAAGTTTCTGAAACAAATGAAATTACAAGTCTAATCTAGATCCCAGATCCCTGTGAGAATCTCTATTTTCTAG